GATGCAAACTGCATTTCGTTGCCCTGTACCTGTGCATGTGCAATGACAATAAAGTTGAATTCTATTCTATTCTAAAACTGAGTATCAGCTGCACAGCAATGAGAGTGTGGTTTGTTGGATAGTTTATGTGTGGATGGGAACTGGGGGGTGCTGGTAACAAGAGGAGGCAAGCTCCTAAGAGGCCTGTAAGACCGTAGGACTGGGGTTTTATACAATCTCACCAATTTTTATAGAAAGAACTAAAAAATCCAAAGAGGTATAGATGCTGGCTCTCTCCTAATAAGAACAGGTTTTCCTCTGAACATTTAAGTTATCTATAAAAGTTACATCATTTTCTGGACAGCCGCCATTTGAAGACCCACATGTGGACATGCATATACACTACATATACATATATACTAGGGGACTAGAGGCTGATGCAGCCTTCAAAGTTGTTCCAGTGTCACCTGCTCTGGCCCCTGGAATACTTTGACCATGGTTGCTGGGACTCTAGTTTCACATTTCTAAGAGTAAAATCTTCCTAGCACATTTTGTTCTTTGGCAGGTATTTCACAGATTGGGGAAAATTAACTGGCAGAATCAGTTTTCCCCAGAACTGAACAGGTTGGTGGGCACTTCTGTTTTTGACTGCACTTCTTCCACAGTCACCTGCTGGGGCACAGCTGAGGAGGAAAGTGCAGTTAACCCCTAACACACAAGCCTGCTGCTAGTGGTTTGGCTAACTGCTAAGCTATTAGCTACACTAAGCTAGCAAATCCCTAAGGACACAGTTAGTGAATATTTGCATGTGATTCTGAAGAAATGATGCTTTAATACAGCCCCTGTAAGTTACTATGAAATAAGTTTCAATGAGAAAATTTGCAGTTAATCAAGCTACACAGATTGACCTACAGAAAAACACCACAGTGCACCGTAACAAGAGCAGGAAGTGATCTAATACCATGGCGAGACCAGGACTAAGTGAACAACATCAACCCTGTCTTGTCACAGTACAGTGTTCTTCATTGAAACCTTGTTACAGACCAAAGAAACAGTGCTCCTGCCTACACAGTAGTTAAACTACAATAGTGTAGCAGGGCCATGTGTAAAATGATGGAGCTAACTAGTAAAATAGTTGATACAGTTAATTAAAATGTGAATGCTGGTACAGGTCAGACCTTGGGAATGAAATGAGTGCTTGTTCCTGCTCATTTTGTCCCTGTGAGTGGATCGAGCTATGATGTCATCCATCTCCTGCTCTGATACCTGAGGTGAGACAAAGAAACACAAAAAGATGCATTTTAGCATCAAGAAAGACAAATACATCCTAAAGCACCAACCTTCAGGAATCTACCAGAAACACAATAATTAGCAATCCCATTTAACAGAATAAGGGGTTTTTGAATGAGGATGCACTACGGTAAGAAGAAAAGCTGGTGGAGGCCGTCTGATGCTTTGGGCAAAGTGATAGTGGGAGACATTGGGTCATGCTACTCATGATGTTACTTTGACACGTACCACCAACTTGAGCATTGTTGCAGACCATGTATTATTTTCATATTTGCATAGTGACTACTAATACCAATGACTAACAACGGGCCGTGTGGTCAGTTTCATGACCATTGATATGACCATCAACAACCACTGATTAATGTCCGTGAGTACCATTCACAGAGAGTTGGAGAATGGCTGCAATCACAGCATTGTAAGATGGTGACAGATGGACCCTTAGGCCCCCTCCTCCATTCAGAGATGGTCTTACCCTTTTCACATAAATGGCTGCATTCAAACCACCGCTCCCCCCTGTCCAGGATGTCACATCCTCATCATTGAAAGAGTGTCCACTGGCCTGTAGGTGTGAATAGACTGCAGAGTCCTGGCCTGACGAGGTGGCTCTTCTGTGTTGTGCCGTCCTCTTAGCCAGAGGTTGTTTGGTTTCCCCGATGTATAAATCCTGCCAATCCTCCTGTACTTAACAACGTACACTATGTTACTCTGTTTGTGTCGGGGGACCCGATCCTTGGGGTGGACCAGCATATTTTGGGGCTTAAAAGCCACAGAGACCGGGTGTTTAGAAAAAATGCGTCTCAACTGTTCCGATACTCCTGACACGTACGGGATCACTACAGGTTTTCACTTAGGCAGCGGTTGTCCTTCTCTCCTGGATCAGCTGGAGCTTTCTTGGGTTCAGGAAAGGTTTGAGTAGCCCATTAGTTTGAGGTGTTGACGAGGCTCCCATGTGTCAATCCAATCGAGCATCTGTGGGACGTGCTGGACAAACAAACCCCAACTGACACCTTCAGGGGTCTAGTCGTGCCCATGGCCAAATACCTCAGGGCTGTGTGGCAGCAAAAGAGGGACCGACACAATATTAGGCAGGTCCTTATAATGTGATGCTTGATTAGTGTATATACAGAGCTAAAAAGAAACCTAGGATTGTGTTTATGGAACATAGACTGTGTTTTTGTCTGGGTGAATGAGACTCAATTTACTTTGAATTCTCAATTAAACTAGAAACTGGTGAGTAGATCCACGCTATGTGATACATTTTTGGCTCAACAACCCCTGAATGTCATTGGAGGAGAGGAACATCATGAGGATCAAGACAGAGGATGCAGGAGTAACTTCATCCAGTAGCTTGAATCAAACAGAAGGCTGAACTTTTTATTTAAAAGCAGATCAGGTCTTACCTTTCTAGGATATCTCTC